AGCAAGGAAAGGGGAAAAATAGGTAGTTTTGCCAGTGTTAATTCCACTCCTCCTCAATAATTTCACTGAAAAGCTCTGGCAACTATGATGTTTCAAACATGGCAGAGGCATAGCCCTGGGATCAAAGAGATGTCTTTTGCTGTCCCCATGAAAATATCCCAAAATTTATCCAAATTATAAGTCTCTGAAAATTGCTATTTTTACATGCTCAGAAGAGCTTGATTCTAAAATCTTTGAACATCCCATCTACATTGAGAATGCCTCAAAGAACTCCCTGCCTACTGACTGCACTGAGTGTGTTCCAGTCTCAGGGAAGAACCCTAGATCTGGAGGACAAGGAAAAGGAGATTACAACAGCAACTATTTTGGCCTAGGGGGAGGTGTACCAGGCTGAAAATCAGGAAGAGACCATGAGTTCTGGTCTCAACAATTCCAGTAACTGAAGTTAATAATTTTGTGCCTTTCAAAGCTCTTATTATTGAACAACATTCCTCTCTCGTAAATTCTAGTCTGTGGCTAGCTAGTGAAATTCACACATTCTACTGCCCGTCCTTGCAGTCTGTGAAGAAAGAGGGAAAGGGGTTTGCTAATGCCTTCTCCATGCCTTCTGAGGCTCCCCTCTACCAGGGGAATCCCAAGCGGAGGACTTTGCCTCTTGCATAAGTCCTCTGCAAAGAATTTGCCAAGGGAATGGAACAAAAACAAAAATCTGCCCCACTATATTGATTGTGGCCATTCGAAATACTAAGGGAATGTGGTCTAGATGGAATTACTATCTAGGTAGGTGCATAACTGATTGAAAGACCATACTCAAAATGTGCTTATCAATGGATTGCTGTCAAACTGGGAGTGCTTGTCTAATAGGTATTATGTGGGGGTCTGTGCTGGGTCTGGGGGTATTCAATATTTTCCTTAATGACTTGGATAATGAAGTGGAGTATATCCTTATAAAATCTGTGGATGATAAAAAGCTGGAAGGGGTTGGAAGCACTTTGGAGGACAGCATTAGAATTCAAAATGACCTTGGCAAATTGGAAATTGTGCTGAAATCAATGAGATTTAATTCAATATAGCCAACTGCAAAGTACTACACTGAGGAAGGAAAAATCAAAGCACAACTACAAAATGGGGAATAACTAGAAAGGCTGTAGAATGTCTGAAAATGATCTGGAGTTATAGTAGATCACAAACTGAATAAGAGTCATCAATGCAATGCATTGCAAAAAAGGCTAATATCATTCTGGGGTGAATTAACTGGAGTGTTATATGTAACTGTGTCCAGGTTTGGATCCACACTTTAAGGAAGATGTGGACAAATTGGAGAGAGTTCTGAGGACAGTAACAAAAATTATAGTGATAAAAGGTTTAGAAAACCTGACCTATGAGGAAAGGTTAAAAAACAAATAAAAACAAAACAAAACTGAGCATGTTTAGTCTTGAGAAAATGGTGACCGGGGAGAGGGGACCTGATAAATCTTGCAATATGTTAAGGGATGTTATAAAGAAGACAGTGATCAATTGTTCTCCCTGTACACTGAAGGTAGGATAAGATATTATGGTCTTAATCTGCAGAAAGGGAGATTTAGGTTACATATTTGAAAAAACTTACTAATTATAAGGGTGGTTAAGCTCTGGAATAGGCTTCCAAGGGAGGTGTGGAATCCCTGTCATTAGATGATTTTAAGAACAGAGTGGTCAAATGCATGTCAGGAATTTGGTCCTGCCTCTGCGTAGGGGGCTGGACTAGATGTTGGTTGGAGGTGGCTTCCTGCCCTGCATTTTGAGAGTCTCTCCATTATCAAAATGTTAATTGACAGTACACGGGTGTTACTTTGTAAGTATAAAACAAGAGAAAACAGATGTAGACTGAAATGTGCTACATAAGAACATAAGAATGGCCATACTGGGTCAGCCCAAAGGTCCGTCCAGCCCAGTATCCTGTCTGCCAACCGTAACCAATGCCAGGTGTCCCAGAGAGATTGAACCTAACAGATTATGATCAAGTGATCTCTCTCCTGCCATCCATCTCCACCCTTTGACAAACAAAGGCTAGAGATGTCATTCCTTACCCACCCTGACTAATAGCCATTAATGGACTTAACCTCCATGAATTTATCCAGTTCTCTTTTAAACCCTGTTATAGTCCTAGCCTTCACAACCTCCCCAGGCAAGGAGTTCCACAGGCTAACTGTGTGCTGTGTGAAGAACAACTTCCTTTTATTTGTTTTAAACCTGCTGCCCATTAATTTCATTTGGTGGCCCCTAGTTCTTATATTATGGGAACAAGTAAATAACTTTTCCTTATTCACTTTCTCTACACCACTCATGATTTTATATACCTCTATCATATCCCCCGTAGTCTCCTCTTTTCCAAGCTGAAAAGCCTTGGCCTCTTTAATCTCTCCTCATGGGACACGTTCCAAACCCCTAATCATTTTAGTTGCCCTTCTCTGAACCTTTTCTAATTCCAGTATATCTTTTTTGAGATGAGGAGACCACATCTGTACGCAGTATTCAAGATGTAGGCGTACCATGGATTTATATAAGGGCAATAAGATATTCTCCATCTTATTCTCTATCCCATTTTTAATGATTCCTAACATCCTGTTTGCGACTGCCACTGCACACTGCATGGACATCTTCAGAAAACTATCCACAATGACTCCAAGATCTCTTTCCTGATTAGTTGTAGTTAAATTAGCCCCCATCATATTTTATGTATAGTTGGGGTTATTTTTTCCATTGTGCATTACTTTACATTTATCCATATTAAATTTCATTTGCCATTTTGTTGCCCAATCACATAGTTTTGTGAGATCTTGTTGAAGTTCTTTCACAGTCTGCTTTGGTCTTAACTATCTTGAGCAGTTTAGTATCATCTGCACACTTTGCCACCTCACTGTTTACCTCTTACTCTGAAGCATGAAACATGCACATGGATGGTGGCTTCTGCATATTAAGGTTTCCTGACTTTTCCCAATACAAGAGTATTTTCAGTTGCTTAGAACTTTGCCAAACTTTAACCATTTGGGATGAAGTTTTCCATGCTAGATCTGTCTACCGCTGATTTTTTTTTCTTTGAAAATTTCAACCATAACAGTTCAGTCATTCTTGAGAATGAGGGTAGGGAAAAAAATGTGTCCCTCCCCCACCCCCTGTTAAATATAATCTGTTAACTTGTGTTTTAGATGTTCTAGTGTCCCCATGCTTTAGAGCAGGGAATTAACATTTGATGGATGGGTCATCTTTGTGACACGGATGTGCTGTTATCATCTCCATAAAAAACTGCCCAAATTTGGCTAAGTTATAAAACTTTTAAATATTGCAGTTTGCTTATGCTCAGTAGAGATTTGTTAGCTTTTAGCAGCATAAATCCCCAAATGTCCTGTCTTCACTGATCATGCTCCAGCCTGGAGCTGAGCAGGATTTTCTTTGCAATTTGTACCTCTAGGGTGGTGTTAACTGTACTGGATCTGGGTTTGGGCATCAGACATGATAACAGGGAGCCTGCACTCTGATAGCGATCTCCTCCCCTCGGTCAGGCAGTAGAGGGCACAACTGCCAGACCTGGGGGAGCAGGGAGAAAATAGACTTGGACAAGTCTAGGGAGAAAGACTGGGGCAACAAGCTGCCAACTTTAATTCACCCCTCCTGTGCATATGTTTTATTCTAGTCTTTAATTACATTATCACATACTGGCTTTTTCCAGTGAACCCTTGCCTTGTTCAGTGCACAGGGCAGAGCTGCTCTGGGGATGCAACAAGGTTGGGTAGTAAAGGGTATTGTTGTCTGTAGGACCTCTGTTTCACTTTTTGCAAAAGTTGGAAGGAATGTACAGAACAAGCAGGGGTCACAGGAAGAGAAAGGATAGTCTCATGTCTAAGGCACTTTTATGCTGCCCTCTGGAATTGAGTTCTACAGAGTTCCTATGTGATATTGGGCAAGTCACTGAAACCAAATTTTTTACAGGTGGTTTCTATTTGTTTGTTCATTTCTGGGTTCCTGACTTGAGACCCTGGGGTCTGATTTCCAGAAATGCTTAGAATTCGCAGTTGCAACTGCAGTCAGTAGGAACAGTACTTGCAACATATAAAGTGTTATGCAATGCTAAGTACTACGGTCCTCAGAGTCTGAGACTGGACACCTAAAATTAACAGTTTCTTTTGGCCTTAATCTCTCTATGCCTGTAAAATGGGGATGCTACCACTCATCTGAAAATAAATTCATTAATGTTTGTAATGCACTCACACTATAATGTTGAGTGCCAAAGAAAAGGCCATGAGGCAGTAAATAAAAGAAAAAAACGTCCATTAAGGTAAAATGTAAACTATCTTCAGAGCAAGGTTTGAATAGTGTACAGTAAATAAGGCAGGGGCTACACATTGAACAACGAGGAGAAAAAACATATTAAAAAACAAAAAACAATAGCTGCTCATTAAGTAGGCACCAATCATCCTGTGTACTGATCGAAGCAGGGGTCCTGTGGCAAAAGTAGTATGTGATCATGTAATTAAAGACTGCAATCATAATGCCCCACACAAGAGAGGGAAAAGTTAAGGTTGCACAGGCAACCTTAATACTAGTATTTCCTAAGTTTTGGGTATTTGACATTGCAACTTTAATAATGTTCTTTAACATAGTTTTTATGTGTAATACTATAACCTATACAAACACTGTTAAAAAAGTAATCTAATATCCATTTAAAATGAGCAAGCTATTGATATTTATAAAATGTCACCTACACAAGCTCAACAAATCTTTTTCAATCCAAAGTTTCATTCTGAATGTTGATGAGAGAACTAAACACTTAGTGAGGAAACACAGATTGTACTAGATAGTTTTCAAGAAAGGGACAACTATACTTGCACATTGTAGCACCTTACTGCTCATGTATTCCCATTTTTTAGTCAGAGATTCTACTCTGGCACAGAACTCTGTTTGGGGACTGGAATCTTCCTGTCTAAAGAGAGATAATAGATTTTTCCCCCCCTTTTTTTTAGGCACTTCAAGAAGACTTGGAACAGGAACAAGTCAGGGTGAATTCCCTTACTCATATGGTAGTTGTGGTGGATGAAAGTGGTGGAGATAAAGCTACTGCTGCACTGGAAGAACAACTTCAGGTAAATGTTGAATTACTTTATATATTAAAAAAATAGCATCCATCTTAAGCATCCCTCAAGAAATATTTTTGTCAGTCCTTTTTTTTATGTGCATGGCTAAATGAAAATATTTTGGGGGAAAGTGCCTTAAATATTTAAAAATGTTAAGTTTTTTTGTATGAAATCAGAAAAAGGGGTTACATACCATCTATAAACTAAAGATAAAAAGCAATTGTCCAGCCTTCCTTGTGCACTATGTACACACAACCCTTCTTTTAGGTTCTCTGGTACAACATTCACTCTGACAATCTGTCTGAAATATTTGATCAAAATGAGCTTTAAATGATTTGGTAAGCTCTGAGTTACTCCAGACACAGTGGTACAAGCGTACCTGTCCAGTGTGCAATCTCAACCACCTTATCTTATTTTCTCATTTTTTTCTGTGTGCATTTGTTTTGTATCCTGGTGAAATGTCGTCTCTCCAGCCAGCTGCTTCAGGCTACTTATCTCTGACACAATTTAGTCTCATGCTCAATCTCCAAATAGGGGAACGAGAGGGAAATAAGTTGGCTGCAACCGCTTTAGGGCTCAGACATAAACAGGCATTTCATGTTCATCTGGTTTAACAACAAAACTGAGTTGTTTGCAACCATCTCTGTTCCTGATGCTGCATTGTCCTGTGTCACTGCGGTACTGAAATGACAAGAAGAGCAGTTCCTAAAGAAATGCAGTATCCATTGTTGCTGATAAACTGAGGAAAATTGTCATAACGTGGAACAACATACCACAGCATCTACTCTTACTTAACCTTTAAAAAAGGTGGGGGGGGAGGGAGTCCAAGAACTAGAGATCTTTTCTAAACTTTCCATGCTGTGTACAGGAGCAATAAGTGATAAATTATACCTTTTCCACTGAAATAATGTCCCACTCATAGTGTAAAAAAAGGGGAGCTGGGGGATGGTAGGGAAAGTCAGAATAAATGTTACGTCACCTAGTCTACTGGAAGAAAGTGTGACCACTGCTTATGATACCAAATAGATGTTTCACTACTAGCTTGTTTTCCCCCCATCCCTCGGACACCTCTATCTATTTTAGATAGTCTCTGCCCCAAAAGAGATTACAAACATTTATGTTTGTACAGTGCCTAGCACAGTGGAGCTCTGACTGGGGACACTAGGTGCTACTGCAGTGCAAATAATAATAATCAGCAGACAGTCAATGAAATGGAAAAGTGGCAAATTCAAAACTGATAAAAGGAAATGGTTTTTCACACAATGCACAGTTAGTATTCTCTGATCCAGCATGGCATTTCCTACATTTACGAGCATACCTTTAGGCACTCGGGTTTAAAAAATGTGCTCATTGTTATTACTGAAATTCTTAAATATGCAAGCACAAAATCAGAAAAGCATATATTGTTCTTAATTACATATGCACAGATATATTGCCTTTTAGCACTATGAATGTGACTTTTAAACTGTAACCCTCATTGGAACGTATGTGAGGGGACTTCACAGTACTAGAAGCGCCCAGAAGAACTGCTGACTCAGCAAAAATGATAAGAAATTTTATTTCTAAAGTTTTTTGGAAAAACAAATTTTCAATAAAAATTATTTTTTCCCATAAATTGTGTGTTGGCAAAGAAATTTTTCATTTGGGGAAAAAAAAACATTGTTGAAAAAAATTCAAACAGCTCTAGTTACAAGGGTCTTGCACATCTGGGCAGGACCAGTCACACTGTGGTCCTTAGGTCTCAAGGATCAGATTGGAGGCAGTCAGTGTTTTCATTGTCTTCTGTTTAGTTCTCTTGTGAGTATGATGAACAACTTCCAAGCTGATTGTGTTCTCTAGGAGATTCAAAAGTGCAGAAGAAACTACTTTGGGGGGGAACAATGAACAGCCACATTGATACAATAGCATGACAAAAACTATAGGTATGTTTATGAAATCTTTGAGTGTAAGACAGGATAACTTATTTGTTCCCCCTTACTATGGAAAAGAATTAGACTTTTGAAGGCATACTGAACTGCCCCTATATTGATGGAATACAAGTTCCATGGTAAAGTACGGAGGAGATATAATTTCATCATTGGGAATTGAAAGCTCTAATGTGGCCATTTTAGCCCTGAATTATTTGCAGCATCTTCACTGCCACTTCACTGCCAGATTTTCACAGACATAAGGACTCTGATTATTGCAACCAAGTTTGTAATGCCTCACATTTGAAAGATAAATCTGAAAATCTTCCTCAGTGTCATCTGTCACTTTAGCTGAGATTTAGTCTTCTTTTCTCACATATGTCTTTGTGGTTCCCATCATCCTCTGAAATGAAATTAGTATTGGGAGACTGCTTTTTCTGTGAATCATCTGGAGGGTAATTCCTCCTTTCATTTCATGGAAATGAAATGTGGGTTTAGGTTAAAAAATGTACTAAATATAATTAGTTACATTACTGTTCCCTGCACAAGAGACTTTTTACTTAGGATGTGCCATGAAAAGGATCCCTTAGAGAAAGTTCACAGCACAATTTAGGCTTCCCCCGCCCCCATTAAAGACTTTCTTCTGCTGCTGTTTTGCTGTTCAGAGAGCATGAAGGTGGAGAGTTGAAAAAACCTAATAGTGCAATAATTTAGGTTAATTTAGTGCTTCTAGGGAATATGCAACCTATGCTTTTTTTTTTTAGGATACAGAATAGTGATATGCACATCTCAAAAAGTTCGGAGGTGTGGCTGAAAACAAATAAGCACCCAAACTTAATGCAATCTTTGACATTTTTGAGGTCCATTTCTTCTCTCCCTGTGTGTCCACCCCACCCTTCAACACTACAATCTTCGCCCATCTTCAGGACCAGGGCCAAGTAATCAGCTTTCCCCCTCCTCGTTGTACTAGTGGTGGCAACAGCAGTTACATTTATTGGCACTCTGAAGCTTTCTTGATGGTATAGCTCCAGCTTGCAAAATATGCCTTGAAATCTCCAAGGTGAATGAGATTCCTTGTTCTAGGGTGTTAGTGGCATGATGTACTATGGAATGTGACAAACTAGCAGTACTGTGTACAGTGCAGCTGCACTTAGGAACAAATCGTTCTGTTTCTCCTGAGAAATACTGGTGCATTTTTTATTTATATATGGTTCATATGGGTGCTTCACTTGTAGCTCCAATAGCAAAGTGAGACATAGAAGCTAGTTTACATACAGACACATATTCAAAATACTCTCGTTAAAATTCAGATTTCTAGAAGCTTAAGTGTTTTGGCATGTCTTACAACTTCAAAATCTGACCCATTCTCTGTGAAGTTTTCATACGTTACTGAGGCCATTTCTAATGAAAATGGAACTATTTTAGAACAACTGCTGTTTGGGGCAAAAGGGGTAAACATCTTGCCTGTCCATGTTTTCACAGCCAAATTACTGCTTTTGTGAATTTTCAGAGGTAGAAAATGGTGAAATAAAATTGTGGGGAATTTCATGACTTCCTTCCCTCAATTTCACATAGCCCCAATCAAAGTTTACCTGCTACCATCTCTCTCAACTTTGGTTTTGTAAAAGACATGATAACGTTATCAAATGCTTATTTAAAAATGCATTGTAAAGACACACAAATAATATTACATACAAAAACTACATTAAAAGAACATTAAGGTAGCAAAGTCAAACACTTATGATAGGAAATGCCAGAATTAAGGTTGTCTGTGTAGCTTTTTTCCATAGGACCTTTGAATTTTTCTAGTATCTCACTGGAAGACCAAAATTATTAACTAAAGCCACTAGCTTTAGCAAAATTGAGTAACTCTGTGCTGAGGAAAACGTGGATTAAACTATTTTTATCATGAAATTAACAGTTCATAAATTTAAAATCTACTTTTGCCATCCAGTATCCAGTGAATCCCACTTTTTCGTGTGTGTGTGTGTGTGTGTGTGTGTGTGTGTGTGTGAGTGTGTGTGTGTATATATATATATAGTGGACG